AGTTATGATATTCGTAGAGGAGATTCACAAGCAAGGTCTCGGCCGACGCAGTCGGTGCTTCCTCGTCTGTAAATGAATCCGAAAAAATGCGGCAAGCGCTTCGGTGTTTACAGACTGGTACAACTCGTTGACAGGTGTCGAGCTGTCCCCGGAGTTTGAAAGTTTGGCAGGTGCCGCGATCGGCCGAGAAGCAAGCCATCAATAACCATCAATTCTGCCCGAAAGTTGATGCGTCGTTCCACTCTCCCAAGCTGGATAAAAAATAATTTTAGGAGGCAGATCTACTCATTTTTGTAATTAGATTGTTCCTAGGTATCTCAATTTCAATCATATCAAAACTGCAACGCAGAACAGGGCCGTCGCTAAAAATTCAAACCCCGCGCACAGCCCAATCCTGTTTCCCGAGATGTACCAGTCTGTAACCACCAAAAGTGCTTCCCACATTTTTTGGATTTTGGTTACAGACTGGTAACGAGTCTAGTTCCCGCATCCCAAGGAAGGGAGGGGTTGGGCTCGGGTCGTACCGCCCCCGTCGCACGCGCACATCGGCGCTCCACTGCATCCCAGCGGAAGTAAGGATACGGAGGGGCGTACCCCCACCGACGCACCCGCGCTGGATCGACGTAGCCGCGTACCGCCCCCGACGTGCGGGCATCGCACCATTCCGCGCCCGTGCCACCGCGCACCCACACTAGATGCGGATCGCGCCTCCCCCGCGCAGCCGCGCCTCCGCGCCCAACCCACCCAGCCCATCCCCGCCCCATGCCACGGCATCCCAGCAGAAGTAAGGATGGGCTGGGGTGTACCGCGCCGCCCCTGCGTCGTATCGACGGACATCGCGCCTGCCCCGCCAAACTCAGCCTTTCCACCACTGACATTCCCCGCCCCTCGCCTCCCAACGAGGAAGGAAGAAAAGGTTGGGGGCACCCGCGCCCACGTTGCGCTGCATCGTCGTGCACCTATCACACCATCACACCAACAGCCCACGGAACCCCCCCCCCCTCCCCCCCCCAAAAAAAAAGAAGAAAAAAAAAAAGAGGCGCACAAAAGCTCCCCGGCGCCGAACGCAGGGCGCGCGACCGACGCCCGGAGGAAGAGCGCGCAACGAATGCCGGAAGGCGAAAGGCAGCCAAACGCGTCATGCAAACCAATCAGGCGAGCACGGTGCTGCTACAAGGCGCGCAGGCCTCTGGGGGGACGAGTCTGGGGAGGTGGGGAGGGGGGTGAGCATGATGGGGAACGGGAGAAGGGAGAAGGGGCAGGGGTGTGCTGCGAAGCGAACGCGGGGGGGGAGAGAGCGGAGAGGGTAGGAAGGTGCGGGGTGAGGTGAGGTGGGGGTAGTGATCGGCACGGGCCTCCCGCGGGTCCGCGAGCGCTGACCCGTACCCGTACCCGCAAAAACCCGTACCCGTGGTCGCGGGTACGGGTTTTTCGGCGGGTCGACGGGTGGCCCGCGACTCCCGCGACCCGTGCAAGACCTGCATGTTTTTTGTTACTTTTTTGAGTTGCTTTACCAAAGGATGATGAAACAATATGGGCCTCAAATTAAACACTTCAGAGGCTTGGTTATGAGGTCCAAAAGAATTATAAAAAATGTGCCACAAAAGGGGAGAGAAATTTCAGACCTCAAGTCTTCACTGACTGAAATTCCTTGACTGCTTCGAAGGTGTTTCAAGCAAGTTTTAAGAATTTAATTATCGGGAAAAAGTCTACGCACGTCTGAAGTGTGTTCATTGACTGCAAGGCAGTGCTTGATTGCTGGTGGCGGGTCCCAGACGGGTACCGACGGGTCCACAAAAATTCTCGAGACCGACCCGTACCCGTACCCGGACCGACCCGTACCCGGGGCCCGCCGCGGGTGGCCCGACCCGTGCCGATCACTAGGTGGGGGATGTGGAGACGACGCAGATGGGGCTGGGGATGGAGAGGGAGCGGAGGGAGGGAGGCGCACAGACGGAGAAGATCGGTGGTGGCACACAATAGAGAGAACGGAGACGGGCGGAGATGAAAGTGGGGGGACAACAGGCGCGCGATTTGGGATAGGAGGGAGGAAGGTAGATGAGGGAGGAGAGGAGAGCAGGACGAAGAAGGGATGCTCCGCCCCACCACCCCCGCATCCACCAGAAAACAGCACAACGAGTCATGTCGTCTGCATCTTTGCACATCTGCAAGCGGTACGCGCGCACCCCCCGTCGCCAGCACCAGCACCAAGGCACAGCGCCTTGCTGCATCAGCGAGGCACGCCGCCTCTGCCGCACCAGCGACGCGGCCACATACACATGCGCATCGACGACGTCCACCCCAATCGCCACATCGCGAAACCCCCTTTGCGGCGTATCGACGAGGCGCGCGCTAGCACCGCAGCGGTGCTCCGCTGCATTGGAGGAGGAAGCACAGTGACCGCGCAGGGACGCACAAAAGCAGCGCCCCGATCGCGCGCATCGGCCCCCGCCGCACGAACGATCGGGCACGAACAATCGCGGCGTGCGGACGAACGAGCTCGCCCCATTCCGCCAGCCAGCACGCACCACCACACCGACGGACGGTCCACGCACGTACGACCACATCGCCATCCAAGAAGATAGGAAACAAAATAATGAAAGAAGCGCGGTCGGGGGCGTACCGCCGCCAACGCAGCGCGTCATTCTGTCGCCGATTGTCATGCCCCCCCGACGCATCGCGCCATCGGACTAGCGCGCCGACATTGCACCATACCGATACTGACGCAGCCGCGAACGTCGTACCGACGCCCTGCAGCCAAGGAGCCAGCCGGTGCACCCCAGATAGTCAGCAAGTCTGCGGGGGTAGTTAGCGCGGGGGGTCGACAAAGAAAGAAAGAAAATGAGCGAAAGAAAAGGATGAAGTAGAATTAGCCTTGAAAGCGAAGGCACGGGGGTATGGAGGTGGGAGAGGACGGGAGAGGAGGAGGGAGAGAGGGCGGACGGACGGATGGGATGGACACGGAGGGGGAAGAGAGAGCGGAAGATGGTGGAGGTGGAGGTGACGGAACGAAGGGCGAGGCCAGTAAGTCCATAGGGAATGGCAAAAATACTGTACCAAGTTGTAGGGGAGCAACGGTCACGGTCACGGTATGCCCGTTGCGTTGCGAAATTTCCAAGGGGTCACGGTCACGATTCAAGTCGTTGCCCAAAAATTATCGTGACATTCAAAAAAAATTGTAAAAATCAGAAAAAAGGGTATATAGCATGCTACACCTATTCCTTTGCATTGCTTTTTTAGGCAACGGTCACGGTCCCGGTGGCTGCCGTTGCCTAAAAAAGAGGCAACACCGATGTCACGGTCCGTTTGGCGTTGCTCCCCTACAACTTGGTACAGTACATAGAAAATTTTGAGAAAAATACGACGAAATGGATGGATGGATGCGTCGCAGACATATATAACAAAAAACGCGCACCTACCCTGTGCTCAACGACCTTTACGGGAATGTTGCGCCGGGGCTAGAGAACGCGCCCTCGATGCCGTGGAACGAGAGCGGGGGCAGGCGCGAGTGTGTTGTCGTTTGAGTAAGTAGTCAATAAGTAGTATATCGGGAGGGTCTCGGCAACTCCAAGGCCAACGAGGACGCAGCTCCGCGTCGACGGCGCGCGATGGAAGTCGGTGGAAGCGGATCACAAATCAGGGCTGCCGGATTAGGCGATGTTCACACGATCTAAATTCACCGAGTACACTCGTGGGTGCATAAATTCAGTGGGTTGGAACTATAATTTTCTTCGTTCATGGGAGCTCGAGAGACAAAAAAAAATTAACTGTCAAGGAGTCATGGCCCAGGCTCGAGTCGAACGAGCTACTTCTGCGTACACAGGTATCTCTTTCGTAAGTTATGCAGACGCGGACCATCCGCCACTGGGCCTATATTTCTGTACCCAGGAACTTAGTTGGGTTGGTTCAATTTGAACCTTGAGCTGAATAAAAAAAGTCTTGAAGATGCAATGCATGGCCCAGGCCCGATTCGAACGAGCGTGCTCTAGATCTGCTTAGTGCTAATCTTGCCACCAAGGTTTAGCAGACGCGGAACCATCTGCCACTAGGCCTTTATCTCCTCCTTTTAAACCTCAATAAATGGGTGAATTTCGATGAATTAAATAAAGAGCACTGAAGAATGGCCCAGGCTCGAGTCAAACAACCACTTCTGCTTAATCTTCCAAGAATCGCAGACAGGGAACCTTCCGCCACTAGGCGATATCTCTATACCCAGGAACTCAGTTGGGTTTGATTTGAATTCTGATTGGAAAAAAAATGAACAAGCAAGAGAATGTATGGCCCAGGCCCGGTTCGAACGAGCTTGCTCTAGATCTGCTTACTGCTGGTCCTGCCAATAAAGTTTAGCAGACGCGGAACCATCCGCTACTGGGCCTTTATCTCCTCCTTTGAAACCTTAATAAATGGCTGGATTTCAACGAGTTGAAGAAAAGAAAAATTCCATTGGAACCACCTATGGCCCACGCCCGATTCGACCAAGCTAATTCTGCGTACACAGGTATGTCCTTCATTAAGTTTCATTATTTATTGCAAACGCGGACCATCCGCCATTGGGCCTATATTTCCATACCCAGGAACTCAGTCGGGTTGGTTCAAATTGAACCTTGATATGATTAAAAAGAATTCCGTTTGGAACAGATTTGAGCTGAACGCGAGCTGCATGGCTCAGGCTCGATTAGAACGAGCTCTCTCTGCTTGAATACACCCTTCTTTTTGAGGATTGCAGACGCAGAACCATCTGACACTGGTCCTTTTCCATCCTCCCTAGTAATATTCTAGGCCGTTGAAATTAGATGAGTTCCATAAAACAATCGCTACGAAGCTATGGCCCAGGCCCGAGTCGAACGAGCTACTTCTGCCTTCTTCTGGAAATTTTTGGAACCAATAGCTAGCGACCTTGGAATCCATCCTACCGGGCCTCTTTCTCTTACCTAGCAACTCTGATAAACAGAGTTGAAATTAACATGTTGAATAAAAAAAGCTGAACATCGATCTACTTATGGCCCAGGCTCGAATCGAACGAGCGTCTTCTGCTTGTAACCCACTATTGTCAGTTTCACGTTTCGCAGATGCGGACCATCCACCACTGGGCCTATATTTTCATTCCTGAAACTCAATGGGGTTGGTTTCATTTTGCGGTTGCAGTGTAATTAAAGAAAATGGCAAGAGCGAGTATTGCTATTTGCCCACGCTCAAGTTGAACGAACTACTTCTGCATGGAGTTTATACGCTTCTAAGTCGTGCAGACGCGGACCATCCGTCACTGGGCCTATATCTCGATACCTAGAAACCGTTCAAATTCAACGAGTCGAATAAAATAAAATAAACTCGGGGACACAGAGTTGTGTGGCCCAGGCTAACGACCTCTGCTTACACTCGTCATCACAATGAAAGGCTTGCAGACGCAGAAACATCCGCCACTGGGCCTATATATACTATTATACCCAGATAGCGCGTGAAGTCGGTTCAAGTAACAAGCGGAATAAGAAGAATTCCACCATCGGTAATAAAATATGGCCCAGGCTCTCGAACGAGCTTGCTCTGCTTAATCTCCAAGGCCATTGCAAGTATCATAGACGCGGAGCTATCCGCTGCTGGGCCTACATTCCTACACCAAGAAACACAGCTGGGTTGCTTCAATTCAACAACCGGAATAAAAAGAATTCCACCATCGACAAAATATGGCCCAGGCTCGATTCAAACGAGCGTCTTCTGCTTACACTCCAAAGATCAAAATCCATGAACATTTAGCAAACGCGGACAATCCCCCACTGGGCTTTGTTCTCCTCCCTTGAAACCTAAAGAGATGGGATAAATTTCAACAAGTTTATGTAAAGAAAATGGTGCTGAAAACGGTTCAGAACGGTCCAGGCTCGAGTTGAACGAGGTACTTCTGCTTAGAGCCCCAGAAGAAGTTATTGAACACTTTTTGCAGATGCGGAGCCATCCGCCACTGGGCCTATTTCTCCTACCTAGCAACTCTGCTAAACAGAGTTGCAATTACCATGCTGAATAAAAAGGTAACACGTCGAGACATAAGGCCCAGGCTCGAGTCGGACGAGCGTTTTCTGCATAGTACCTCGGTAAACGACTTTAACAAGTTCAGCAGACGCGGGACATCGCCTTTTCTCTCATCCCTGGTACATATAGAAACTCGTTAGGTTGGTTCAATTTGCACCTTGAATTGGATAAAAGGTAATGAGGAACGAGTTAGAATTATTGAAGCGTGGCTAGGACAGACTAAATAAAAGGATATACATAGGACGTGAAACATGGCTCAGGCCCGAGTCGAGCGGACGTATTCTGCTTGGAAAATAACACAATTCCTGAACATGTAGCAGAAGCGGACCTTCCGCCACTGGGCCTCTATTTCTATATCTTCTATAACCTATGGCTAGCCGGCTAAATATATCCAGGAATCTGGCTAATCCGCCTAGACAAAGCCTTTCTACGTATGTGAAGGTAGTTTGTTTGTCCATCTGCGTAGCTATTTCTAGCGGCCTACGCAGACCTGATAATAGTTCATCAGCCGCCATTGTACTTGTGCGGTCGAAATAAATCCATTTTTACGACTAGAACGAGAAGCTTCCGTTAATGATCAACGCTCAGCTGAGGTTCTGCCAACGCGGAACCGGGCCTTCAAAATTTCGTGGCTCTGAAAGGGTGGTTTGAGTACAGCTAAAATATTAGTATATGAAATCGTTTACCACTTCCTCCACTTCGCAATCGCAGTTGGCACCTGACGACAATCCACAATAGATACCTCGAGACCCTCGTCACGAATGGCCTCCAACCGTCTGCCATTTGTCCGAGTCTTGATTATACGAACGCGGCCCAGGAGGATCTCGACAGAACGCAGGCGGCGACAATAGGTGGTATTAGCCACCCGCCACCGTGACTGCACCATGTCCACAAAATCGGCGTGGCTGAGGACGCATTTTCGATCTGCCCATGAGATGGAAGTCAAGTTGGGAGAAAGACAAGGTCCCCCCGATGCCGCATCAATTGTAAGGGCCGAGATGAGGCTGCTCATCTCCTTAGCTCCGCCGGAGAAGTCGATTTGGAGGGTGGTCAGGGATGGGTTGTTTTCCAGAAGCGGAATGATGCATTGATGCTGTCGTAGGAGTCGCACTGGTACAGTGTGAGGCGCGTCAACACACAGGAAGAACGGTCGAGGAATGGTTGGATAGCGTCGCATGCTCCGATGACATAGAGCTCATCGAGAGCAGGAGTAACGAGGTAATGGAGAAATTTGTCGATGCTGACCGCTAGCCGGCGCAGTGCGTGGAGGGTCACGGTTTGGCCGGACTGAGGGTAATCGTGAATGTTGTAGGTCAAGAGTTCAAGGTACTGCGACCGTTCTCTTCAGACTGGAATATATTGTAAAGTACATGTTACTCACCTGCGACCGTTCTCTTCAGACTGAAGAGATCGGCGCAGGCCTCTAGTTAATACATAGACCAAACACCACGTAACCGTCGCGTCCACATCTGGATAGCGAGGTCCTGAGGTCACTACTACAACAGTGAAGCCTGTGTGGACACCTATCATGTGTCTGAACAGTGATGTCGCAGTTGACTAAGTTTGGTGCGCCCCCCAGGTGGCCAAAATGGTCCAGTGGGGTGAACGAAGCGTTATATCCGGTGAGCTGCGCCCAGGGAAGAATAGAGTTAGGTGTCCAATAACTGCTGGCCAGGACAACTTTGGATAAACTCGGCACATTTCGAAATGTATCATTAATCTTTTCTTTCGCTCGGAACGGGATCTGGAAGGGCCGAGTTGATGGGGCGAGAACCAGCTCTTTCAGCAGAGGGAGACTGTTTCGAATTCCGTCAAATATTGGTTCCAAGTCGTCAGTATACAAAGAGCGCCACCGTCCACAGCATCCGATGAGCATCCGTAGACACTCTTGATTTGACCGAGACCAATGTAAACCGGTGCCTTTGGCAACAATGAAAACGTCGAGGAGGGAATCGGCTGACCGATGCAGTTGGGCTTCAACGATGGGTATGACGGAAATTGGCGTCGTCGGCACAAATATGGTAATGGAGGACCAAAGAGTAGGGAACGAGAGAGCTATTGCCTTCCATTGCTGGCACACATGTCCCAAAATCCAGGGACTACCCTTGAGCTGGGCGCAGAGGGGTACGTATGATGGTGCCAACATGACCTCATCATTCGGGTACATGTATGTCTTCGCCGGCAAAGTCCAGGCGAATATCTCGCAAATGAGTTCAGGTGGCAGCGTCGTTATTGGCGCTTCGCGCTTGGATGTGTCGAGAAGCTGCAGCTGAGGCACAGAATCGGAGTGGGGATTTGAAGAGGTGTCCATGTCCGTGGATAGAGATGGGCGCCTGGAACAAAATGACTCAAAAGAAAGGGACCAGGCTGATGTGTTCATGTTTCGAGTTGTTTTCGAAACCAAAGCTCGGCGGCTATCGCCGAAGCCCCTATGTTATTGTAAGGCTGCTGCTCCAACCTTACTACATTCCTCTACACCATCCAACCTCTCCCTTCCAGGATTGGTTCAGCCCTTGCTGTCTGCATCACATTGCCACTGTTCCGTGCTATCGCACTGCACTACTGCTGTTCATGCCGTCCTCATTGTATTGCTCCTGTCGATCACCTTCAGCCTTGGTTTAGCACACCAATGCCTCAGTCCTCACTGCTCCTTGCTATTCTGCATTGTATCTTCACCGCTACCATTGATTGATTATCATTGGCCTCGATCTCATTGTCTCTTGACTGATCCTCATTTGACCTTCAGATTTCCTTTTCATTGACTCGCCCATATCCCTCCTCAATGATCACCTATACCAATCTTCGACATCCTACCTTTACATTACTGTTGTTGAGTCCTTATCTTACATTCTGATTTATATCTTATGTTATATTCTATTCCTGTTACGTATCTGTCATTACATTGATTGTGACTCCGTACTATACTGATAGCATCTTCTCTTCTTGGTCTTGACCACCATGTACCTTCGCTAGTGGCTGCTCTTGAATGACCACACTATTGTTCTGTCATTCTTGGCTCCTCTTAGTTCTGTCTGGCCGACCGCTCCAGTGTTGACTGTCTCCACAATACGGCAGCCTTCCAGTTATGAACGTCTTGAAAACGAGAACATATCTGAATGAGAAAGTTCACCGCGGTGAACGGTTCACCGGTGAACTGGTGAACTCACCGGTGAACTGCTGACGTCAGCGTTGGCCATGTTTGGCTGGGGCAAGTCCACGGCCAAATACAACGATTGCCTTCTCCCTCCACCAGCACCGCCTTGTTTAGACGTTCCCGCCCTGTCCAGAACGTCCTGCGCCTGTCGAAACCAAAGCTCCGCCCCAATTTCAGTTCGAGATGACAACGTTGTGTTGTAGTATTGACCTCCCTATCCAGTACGCGATGGTTACGCGGTGTTTGGTTAACGGGGGTTGCGGAGGTCCTGTATTTACTGGAGGCCTGCAGCCGATCTCTTCAGTCTGAAGAGAACGGTTGCAGGTGAGTAACCTACTTTATGCCAATATACATCAGTCTGAAGAGAACGGTTGCAGGTTGATATGCACCTTGAACTCTTGACCTACAACACGTTGCGCTGCCTTCGGGCGGCGCAAACCTGGCATGTCACAGCTGGGGCATGGTTAGGAGGAGATCCCTGGGCTCAGAGCACAGGGTGCGCCCACATGGCGCTCGTGCTCCAGCGAGTTGAGTCTCGCATGCCGCGGAGGGCGCGCGGTCGCACCGGATGACAAGCGCCGAAGCCACCTCTGAGTCCCCCGCGTGCGCCGCTTGCTGGAGCATGCCGCGCGCATGTGGCACCGTGCCGCGGGACTGCGCATCGACGAGACGATGTCGGGGGTCCCGCCTGCCCGATAGTTATGTGGCAGCTCCACACATGTGCTATGCTAGCCAATGAATTTATCTTTCCAAAATCCCGCCCATTGTACAGACTTGAGAACACCGGGTGCAGTCGCGCACCTCAGGGCGGACACTGTTAGTCAGCAGTTCACCAAGTGAGCTGACCAGTTCACCAGTTCACCGAGTTTACCGCTTTTGGTGAACTTCCTGGCTCAAGGATTTTCTGTTGAAAACGAG